TTCCTATTAAGTCATTTTACAACCTATCACTCAGAACAAATTTCCATTCAGAAGCCTGCACATTAAAGAGCATTATGAACACATCTTGCAGTCAGTGAGCTGATACAATCCCCCTTCTCAATTCCCAATGAGCACATCAAGCCTCTGGCTCATGCACTGTTAATAAGGAGAAGAGATGCTGGAAATAGAAATAAATGTACTATGCAAACAAATGTAGGAAGTACAATAGGCCATTTGCTCACTTTATTTCACTCCTTTTGGCCTGATATTTTTCATTCAAAAAAATGTGAAATACAGGTAAAATATCTGGCTCTTGTTACACTGTCAACTGTAATAGACAGTAGAAAATGAGTTCACTTCCTCTCACTAATTTACTAAAGAATAATGACTAATCTAGAGTTAGAAAACAAGTTAGAAACAAAATTTCTCACTTCTCTCTTTCTTTAGTAGTTTATTTCTTTTTATGATATGTCTTTTTAAAAGTAAGTCAACTTTTACTTATACAACTGAGAGAAAGAGGTGTTTGTGGCTGAAAAGTACTACTTATGCCTGAAATTTCTTTTCTTCAAGTTTCAAGTTTTAGGCTCCAAAAACCCTTGGTTCAAGGGCAGTAGCTCCAGATTGCCTGTGAAGTTCTTTCATAGATTCAGTCGCCCACACAGGTTCTAGGTTTACTCACAACACAGAGAGGACAGAAATCAAGAAGAAGGGAATGTCAATGGGAAGAGTCCTCACTATTTTTTCTGTATCTTAACTCAGCCAGCTTCAGATAGCATTGTACTTCAACATTTTACCATTTCTAGTAACGCCATTATTCTGAGAAAAAGTATTGTCTGTCAAAATGGAAATAAGGCACAAATAAAAAAAATAAGGGGAGCAGAAATAATCTGAATAAATAAAACTCATTTTTCAAAATCACTACAAAAAAGCAAACTAACTAGGGACTCCTTTTTCTTAATTCTTCCCATTCTTTGTTATTTCTATTTTTTTCCGCTATATATCTCTATTTCGGTTTTTTCCCCTCCATTCTCCTCTGCTTATTCCTTTACAACTGCCAATGATACTGACAGGCACTCCTCAGATCTGCTAGGGAGAGTCAGTATTCCTAGCCTAGACCTTAGTCAAATAGGACATTTTTCTCAAACATTTCGGCAAACTCTAACATGATAGCAGTTGTACTAACAAGTTTTGTTGATTGAAATATTATAGAGACAAAAACTAGCACGAATGTAATAATATTCTAAAACAAATTTATATTTTATTCACCACAAGCATCTACATTTTAGAAACCAGGAATACATATAGATCTGAAATATATTATTAATGTGGACTATAGACAATACTAGATATGCATATGGATTGCAGACCTAAAAATTCCATAGCTAACTTAGGTCTTGTTCTGCCAATAGAATGAGTACCAAAATTTGGGTCTCAAACTTCAGCATGTAACAATCACCTGTAAAGCCTCTTCAAGCTCCATAAACACAAGCCCCAATCACTAACCACAAGTCTTGCCTGTAGTTCAATATTTGTCCAATAGATGTCATGCCTTCACTCTTCTATCAATGAAAGGTAAGGTACAGTTAACAATATAAAATCTAACAATAAGTATCACATAATGTAATTTTGGTACAAGCAGAAAATGCAATGCTTAATTTAAATTTTGGTTTTTTTCTTTGGCCTTTAATTGGGGGTAATTATTTACCTGTTATGTAAAAAATCATGTGTATAAACAAAATGACAAACTAAAAACGTTACAGGATATGAATGCCATTTTAATATTACTGTATTTCATCAAATCGAAGATGCCACTGATTTTAAGATACACCATTGTTTTATGTGCCAGAAAGAAAAGGGGGAAATGCCTCCAAATAAATCATTTATTATTCAGAATTTTTATGTTATACTGATTGCAAGAGTTCTTTTTGATTTATTTAACCAGAGCTTTATCATGTATCATTTTTCAACTGTTTTTGACCATCTCCACATCAATGACTTTGTTTCAATGCTAACTCACAGTGCATTACTGAAGACATACTGAACAACAATTAAAGTTAATAATAAATACCAACAATGCTCACACCCTCAACTAAAGCAATAAAACACACAATTACGGCAATGTTTTTGATGCAAAGGCAAACAAATCTAGCATGACTGCTGCCTTGCAGACAGAGATTGGAAAATGCCATCAAGGTAAGACTGAACACAATTTCATATTGTCAAAATAGGAAAAATTGTGAGTCTCAGGATTTAATGACATACCAATTTTTCAAAAGATGGACAATAATATAATTATATTATTATATAAAACCTATCATATCCTAGCATTGACAACTCACAAGCCTTTCTGCCTTTCATGATACACCAGTGTAGGGGTCGACAAACTGCAGCTCACAAGCCACATGGGGCTCTTTGGGTACATTCCATCTCAAAAGTTTGCAGACCCCTGGAAGAGCCAATCCTGCCCCTCACAACAATTTAAAAATTATTTGAGAGCCATAAATATATTTTTACATAATCACCATTACGTGAATAATATCCTTTAAAAATTTTATAAATGAAACTATGATAGTTTTATTTTCATTTTCAATTTTACTTCAGAGCCACATGTACGTACCCAAAGAGCTGAATGTGGCTCGTGAGCTGCAGTTTGCCAACCCCTGCACTAGTGATATAATGTACAACAATCATTTCAAGTCACCATTCACCTAACCTAGATTAGAGCTGTTCAATTCTTTACTAGACACTTCCTTGTTCACTCTTGACTCTCCCATTTATTCTCATATAATCACAGTAAATTTTAAAAGCTAAACCAAATCTTATCACTCCCTTGATTAAATGCTGGAATGGTTTTCTCTTGTACCTTGAATAAAACTGTTGCATAAATTATCAGCAAGAATCATGAAGGTAAGTGCTTTGTCTCCTAGAGGGCACAGATTTTGTTTTATTCACTTAGGCTATTTCCCTAGTGCTTCGCATATGGTTAGTGCCCAGTAAATATCTGACATTTAAACTTATTCAAATAGTATTTCTTGAGTACCCAATGTGTATTTTTAGACATTTTTAACAATGTTCTATGGGTAGGCTCTGGGTTATCTCATTACAATTAAAATCTTTAAAATAAACTGAAAGAAACTCAGGATGTGCCTATAACATAGTATTTGATAGAAAATGTTCTAAAACATTAGGATTTGGTCATTTGAAGAGCACAGCATATGTATACATAGCTACAGATTAATCATAAAAATATGGTATATGCTACTGGGAGGGTAAACTGGTCAAATCAGTCTGGAAGATGAGATTATTCAAAGTTTCAATAAAGTAAACACTCTTTGAGCACATTTATTTCTAGGAACTTATCCTAAAAAAATTAATGTACAGGGATATGTGATTAAGGATATTCAGTGCAGCGCAGTTTTATAATACTGAAAAATTAACAGTGGTCTAAATTTTCAACAGCAAGAGATATTCAAATAAAGGCAATGGGATATTATAAGTGCATTTGAAATTACAAAACTACATGTTCTGACAAAGAAAGATGATCAAGACAAATTACCATGTTTTGCCGTGTATAATGTACACTTTTTTGCCCAAATTTGTGAGGGAGAAATAAGGATGCACATGTTACATGGGTAGTACTAATTCCATATCTATATAAATGTTTTTAATTCTTTTATTTATGCTTATGAGTTAACGTGTAACCCTAGAAATCAATAATGATATCCTTATGTAAAATAATACTCTGGAATATGATAACTGGTTTTGTTGAACTTATGACAAACTTGCAACGACAAAGAGTTCATGGCCTTCTATGATGCATAAATATCGTAAATCTGTTACTGGTACATAAAATTTCTTGTGTATTAGTAATACTGATAAAGTTTTCTATCTTTTTAATAAAAAGAAATACAGAAATAATGAAAGAATGTATACATAACAAAAATAACTGGACACATACATAATGAAAACTGATAATCACTAGGCAATGACACCTTGATTGTAAGTTTTTGCTAATCTACTTTGTAATTTTACTATAATAAACTACAATAAATTTACTGTGTGATAAAACTGTGTTTTGAAAAAACACTGAATTTCTTTTAAAATGTCCTATTAATAAATATTTCAGATTTTTTTACAAAAGGAGAAATTATGGAACAAACTATAAATTTAAAAGTATTCTTTTAAAGGTGCTATTTTTCTGCTTTGTGAATATCCCATTTTTTCAACCTCCTGCATCACATGTCATTCCAAAAGGAATTATTCAGGACTGGCACTAACACAGTTCTAAGTTTTTTCTTTCTCTATCCAAATCGGAAAACTACCCAAAATCTCTGAGAGCATTATAGCTGTCAATTTTTTTAATTCACTGTAAGATGAATTCTTCATTTATGCTTTCTTAAAATGAAGCATTATCTAGAAAAGTGAAAAATTATCAAGTCATAGTGGTCAGCTGAAGTCTGATTTTCCTCAAAGTGACAGTGTGCCTCTGCATCATTCTCTCTGTGCCTCCACAGCAGCAAATGATTTTTATCACATATATTTTATAGCAAGGCAACAGTTTCCATGGAAACCACAGATCAAACATATCCATTACTGCTGCCAAGGACTGTATAAGCACACCTAATCTGAGGTTACCACTTACTTTCTCTTATTGATGTTTTTAAATTGAGCCAATAGTTAGCTACTCTGATTCTCGTTTTGTTGCATGTATCTCTATGAACAAACATGAGATGAGTAACAAATCAAAAAAATTCTGTGCCCCTTAGCAACAAAATGAGTCTCTAGAAACCAGAAGGGGGAAAAAAGGACCCAGAAAGTTATCAAGCCAGTATGCATACCAGTCAATGTCATCTCATACAAGCGAGCAAAGCAGAACAGAAATCAGTGAATCACTTACATACCAGCCCAATACAGCATAAAAATTTATCTTGGCCAAGATGCTGACCAATCATGGGAAAAAGAATCAATAATTCCTAACAACTGAAAAAGTGCTCACTCACCTCTCTCAGCATATTGTTCTCTTTTTCCTTCTGCTCCAAAAGGCTTTCTAGGTGGTGGACGTGCATCTCAGCCTCTGCCAGGCGTCTTGTCCTCTCATGGTCTTCCTCAGTGGCCTTAGAAGAAAGGCCTTTGCTCTGCAACATCTCCAGAAGCTTCTTGATGGATTCGTCCCGAGCATTCAGGGTTTGCTTCTGAGTCTCAATGCGCAGCTCCATTTCTTCCAGGGTCTTTCGAAGAAGGAACAGCTCTTTGGCCTGCCTTTCGTGCTCAGCATGGAGCCTCTGGAAGTTCTCCTCCGTCAGCTCTGCCACACAAGGCTCACCAGTCCTGCTGCTACTGTCTTGCTGAAACAGCTGGTTGAGATCCCTCTGAATCCGTAATTCATCCTGGAGAGCCTGGATTGTCATCTGCATGTGCTAGAACCAAGACAAAAAAGAAAATCCAAATCAACTTTCCTCCTCAAGCAGCAAAAACAGAGCAGATTGGACAGAGTCAGAGAGTAGCTACCAGGACTCTGAGAATCCTGCCTTTACCAATTAGGATTCACATCATTCTGTTTTACATCATCTTAAAACATGACTGAGATAATCTGCAAAATGTTAGTAATTTAACTTGTTCCCAACAGGAAACAAGTATGGCAGCTCCTCACTCTGCATAAGCCATGACAAAATAAAACGCTGGTCAAAAGAAGAGAAGGTAGAACTGAAGGAGGGAAGGACAAGGGAAAGCCAGGGGAAATCTTTGGGAATACAAACACATCATATTAAAAATGTCACCAAAAAATACAAAGGATATCAAGATATAAAATGATGTAAAACGTATTTTACAACCAAATTTACATATTAAATAATAAGTACTAGTATTTAATGAGTAGCTTCTACAAGCCAGATCGTGCCAAGCACTTTATATGTGTTAATTCATTTAATCCTTACTGAGACATATAATATTCTTTGAATTTATTGATGATGACACTAGACTACAAGTAGCTTGCCCAAGATCACACTGTAAGTGATAAAGCTTAGATTCAAAACAAAAACACAAAGCAATTCTCCCACTACAGCCCACTAAAGCTAGTACTACCCAAAGGTAATAACTTGAAGCTTTAAAAAAAAAAAAAACGTGAGACTATGTGAGCTTTTTATATAGGGAAGGTAACAATATAGGCGAGTAATTAAATAAGGATGTAAATGCAGAAAAATGTTTGCAAGGGCACATCTTTAGCCTGTACCCTAATGAAAGTATATGAACCTTTAATCTCCATGAGTAAATTCCAACACATTATACAAAGAATCTAAAAGACGTTACATCAAGAATCTCATGTTTAGGAATGAAAAAGCAATAATAAAAGGTCACTCTTTGTATTTAAGACATCAAGGCCCAGCAGTGCCACCGTGGAAAGAATGCTAACATGCAATTGGAAGATGGGAGCTTGGATTCCAGCTCTCACACTAACTAGCTATGCAATTTGGAACGCACTGCCATCATTCTGGGTTTCAGATTCCTCATATTTAAAATGAGGATATACAGGGCCAGCCGAGTGGCTCAGTTGGTTAAGAGCTTGCTCAAGAGTGCGAGCTCTGAGCAACAGCGGTTCGATGCCCAGCCCAAGCTGAGCTGCCGCTGGCTGCCAACAGGTGGCAGGGTGGCTCAGCTACAAAAAATAAAAATTAAAATTAAATTAAATTAAAATGAAGATATAAATATCTGTACCATATTTTCACAGAATAAATGACATAGAAATCTTTGTGGTATATATTTTAAAACATATCTCATTTTAAAAAATGCAAAAGACCATTATAATAAATATCTCAAGAAAATGATTTGCCAAGTGTACAAAGATGTGTATACAAAGATCCTCACTGTTGTTCGTAATAGTGACAGAACTGGAAACAACCTAAATGGATATTAAGAGGTGACAAGTTAGGTAAGTGGGAATGTCCACACAATCTAATACATCAATAAAAAATAACAATGTAGATTTATACTTATTGATAAAAACTATGGTCATAATATATTAAGTATCAGAAAGCAGACTATATAATAGCAGGTATAGGATGATCTCAATTCTGATTTTTATATACATGCAGAGAAAAGTCTAAAAGAATATAAACAATTGCCAATGACTATCTCTGTGTATGGGTAACTTTCACTTTTCTTCATACGTTTTTGTACTGTCTAAATCTCCTATGGTGAGCATCTAAGTCTTTTGTAACAAAAAGGAAATTTTTACCTAAAAATAAGAGAAACAGACTTCAGAGACACCTGCTTCAATGTAAAACACTGTGTTCAATTTGCTACCACTTTTGTTAAAAAGGGAGGGAACAATAAATATTTCCTATTTATTATAAATTAAAAAATATATTCATAAGAAATAAAAATGTTTATGGAAAGTTACACAAGAAATAATTAATGGCTATTTTTGTAAAAAAAAACTGGAATGGCTGAGGGACAACTTATAAGAAGACTACTATGTATTTATTCTATTCCTCTTGAAATTTTTTTAACTGAGGAATAACTGACATTGGAATTTTTAAAAACAGCTCTATTGAGATATAATTCATTACCATAAAGTTCACCTTTTTAAACTGTACAATTCAGTGTTTTTCAGCATATTAAAAGTTGTACATCGATCCCTCCTTTCTAATTCTAGAACACTTTCACCACCCCTAAGAGAAATCCTGAACCCACTGACTGTCACTGCCCATCTTTCTTTCCTCCTCCTCCCCTCCTCTTGAATTTGAACTAAGTCGGCATACTACCTATTCAAAAATTAAATTCAAAAAGATGCCTACCAATATTTTCAGCCTTAAAAAAAATGAAATTCTGACACATGCTGCATGAATGAACCTTGAGGATATTATACAAAATGAAATAAGCTGGACACAAAAGACAAATATTATGATTCCACTTACATGAGGTACCTAAAACAGTACAATTTATAGAGACAGAAAGTAGAACAGTGGTTGCCAGAGGGTGGGAATAGGGAGTTACTGTTTAACTGGTATAGAGATTCAGTTTTACAGGATGAAAAGAGTTCTGGAGTTGGATGGTGGTGATGGTTGTACAACCATATGAATGGACTTTATGCCACTGAACTATATGTTTGAAAGATGGTTAAGACAGTAAATTGAAAATGGTATATACAAGATGTATTTTACAACAACAACAACAGAAAGGAAGAAATGGCTGCCACAGAATTCCATGGTATGGAAATATTAAATAATTTATAACTACTGATAAATGTTTCTGTTGGTTCTCATTTTTCACTATTATGATAGATAACTTCATACACATATCTTTGCACACATATCCAAACTTTTCCTGGGGATAAATTCTCATAGGTAAAACTGCTGGATTGGAGCATATGCAGTTATAATTTTGATACATGTTACAAATTATCTCTAAAGGGTTCTGTACAGATTTCAACTTCCACCAATGTCTGGGAGTGGCCATTTCCCCATACCTTTGACAACTATGGTCATTTTCTTTCTTTTCTTTCTTTTTTTCTTTCAATTTCTGGCATTTCTTTGATTACAAGTGAGGGTGAATATCTATTCACATATCCACTGGCACTTTGTATTCATTCCTTTGTGATTCAACTGTTCTTTGCCCATTTTCCTAATTCATTTGAAGAGCTTTCTGTACCAGGAAAATAACATTTCGTGTGCTATGTATGTTACAAATATTTCCAAGTCTGTCATTTTTATTTTAACATTGTTTATGGTGATTTTTTTTTAAAGATTTTTATTGGGGAATTGGGGGAAGGGGAACAGACAAGTTGCTGTCCTTTTGTTCTTCAGTCTAGTTGTGGAGGACGTTGCTTCACTGGCCCAAGTTGGCACCATCATTGCGCTCTTCCCAGGCGAAGCACATCAGTCGCCGGCTTCTGGACGGCCGCTCACTGCGGCTGCTGGCCGCTCACGCTGGCTGCTGGCTACACACGGTAGCCCATGGCAACCCACTGCCACAGGGGCTGCAGCCTATGCCATCGCCAGCAACTTACAGCAGCCCAGCTCCAGGTCGAGCTGTTGTTCAGCATCTCAGCTGCGGAGGGCAGTGTCACTGGCCCTCATATGTGGGATCCGAACCGGGGCTCTCTGGTGTCTCAAGCCAGTTCTTAACCATCGTGCCACTCGGCCAGCCCATGGTGATTTTTAAATAGAAAAAAAAAATTTTAATGCAAAGATATCAACCTTTTTGTAGTTTTTAGTTTGGGTATTATGCTTAGAGCAACAGTGAAATTTAAATTCTCACAGTCTTAGGGCCGGCCGAATGGCTCAGTTGGTTAAGAGCTCGCTCAAGAGTTTGAGCTCTGAGCAACCGCAGTTCGCGTCCAGCCCGAGCTGAGCAGCCGCTGAGCTGCCAACAAGTAGCAGGATGGCTCAGCTAAAAAAAAAAAACAAAAAAAAAATTCTCACAGTCTTCAAACTCTTGAAAAGCATTGCTTTTTCTTACCAAGAACAAATTTACAATACAATTATCAGGTATTTTAATTCATGAATATGATTTTTTAAATGCACTTAACTGTCAGCATTATATTTTAAGATTCTCAGTTGCTGGAGTTCAAAATCCTTAATAAAAAGATGTCAAAATGCTAATCCTCTAAAGCCTATAATAACCCTAGCTTCCTTCTTTAACTTTGGAAGTCAAAATAATCCAGATAAATCCTGAAATGAATTTATCCCAAAGAGAAGTATCAGAAGTTAAAATTCCAAAATGAAACTGATTTCTAGGTACAATTGTTCATCCTTTTTGGGACATTCATCACCAATTCATTCAAGTCAGGAGAAACAGAAGTTGACTACAACTAATAGTCTCACATATACTTTAGCATTTATGATTAAATGCAGTATGGAATTATTATTTTGGTAAAGAAAAAAAATGCAAATACTAATGTATCTACTTCTTCGGTTCTGCTAGCACCCATTTTATATGATACCATTAAAAACATGCTCTGGGGTCGGCCGGATGGCTCAGCTGGTGAGAGCGCGTGCTCTTAATAACAAGGTTACCTGTTTGACTCCCACATGGCATGGTGGGTTGCGCACCCTGCAACTAAGATTGAACACAGTGGCTGGACTTGGAGCTGAGCTTGCACCCTCCACAACTAAGATTGAAGGACAACAACTCGACCTGGAGCTGATGGGTCCTGGAAAAACACAATGTTCCCCTTCCCCAATTCCCCAATAAAATCTAAAACAAACAAACAAAAAAAACAACGTGCTCTGACTGGTAGCCTAGAAGGCTACACAACAATTTTTTCCACTGAAATAGGAATCAACATTCCTACCTTAGGCTACATTCAAGTTAGCTTTACTTTATACAAATCCTTGCCAACTTCCTGGGAGAAGAAAGAAGCAGGCTAGATGCCAGGCTATTAACTCTCTGGCATATTCACACAGAAGATAAAATGAGC